GTGCTGGCCCCAGGCTGCCCGCTGCGACCCCAGCGCTCAGCCTGCCTCCCGGGGAGGCCCGGGGCACCGTGCTGGTTATGAAGCCACGCAGGTCCTTGCCCAGGCCGCCAGCCTCGGTTCATCCGGTTCCTGTTGCCCTGCACGCCGAGGAGCAGCAAGACCGGTCTTCTGCCAGGGGGCGCCCTCTTCCAGCCTTCCTGGCCTCAACCTGTTTGGTTTTTTTTTGCGTGTATGGGACTGGGGATTGAACCCAGGGCCTTCACAATGAACTACATCCTCAGCTCCTTTTTATGTTTTATTTTGAGATGGGGTCTCACCAGGCCACCGAGTTTCCGAGGCCTGGCTCAAACTTGTGATTCTCCTGCTTCAGCCTCCTGGGAGTGCTATGATCGCAGATGGACACCACGCCTGGCTTCAGTTTATTTCGTGCTCCAGTTAGGCTTGCAGGACACTAGTCTCATTTCTTCCCCTGCATTTACCACTGGGGATGGGCAGAGCAGTCCTGCGGGCTTCCCTTTGTCCTTGCCGCCCGCAGTGTCCTCGCACTGTAGATCAGGGAAACCAAGTCTGCCATGCCTTCTACCTGCGCTCTCTGGCCGCAGGAAGAAAAACACAGGCCCCTTTGTTTGTTTGTGTGTTTGTTTTGGTACGGGGGATTGAACTCAGCTACTTGTGCTTGTGAGGCAGGCAGTGGAAACACTGAGCTCATTCCCCACCCCCCACTTTTCCTGAAATTCTCTGTGGTCCTTTGAACCCAGGGCCTTCACACCATGAACCATCCTAGTGCTTTGTAAGTAGCCCAGGCTGGACTTCCCTTGCGATCTCTACCCCAGCCTCCCAAGTGTGGGGTGAAGGGTGCGCTCAGTCCCTCAGGACCAGGGCACAGTGCCCTATGTGTCCCTACAGAGGAGTGTCGATGAGAGCCAGGCTCAGCAGTGCCACTTTCTGTTCCTAATCCCCTGTCTCCCTGGAGATTGACCCTTAGGAAGAGCTCAGACAATGGGCTCCCTGCAACTGAGGTCCTGCTCCGAGCTGTGCCAGGCACCCCACACAGGACCCTGCCTTGGCACAATACCTTGGCCCCACTCCCCAGGTTACTGGCTGCTCACAGACGCCCCTGGGGTCCAGGAGAACTGCTGCTGTCAGCCTGAAGAGGGTCCCTGCAGAAAGGTCAGGAGCTCACCCTGGGGAAGCCAGGGTCAAAAGCTGGAACGGGGGGTCACACCCCTGCCCGGCTCCTTCCTCTGGCCCATGGCACTTTCCCCAGGCGCTTTCTCCTAAAGCATCCCTCAACAGCCCCAGTGTCTGAACCTGGGCTCTGCTCCCGGGCGCAGGAGCACTGAGGGTCTACCGTGGTCACTGACCTCTGCTCTCCACCCATAGACTGGAGAGCCGTCACTACTTCCTCCACGCTCCTGAGAGGGGCCGACAGGAACGTGACTTGGGGCTGTGCCAGCTGGGGCTCCCACCAGTGTGTGGCCCAGGCTTGTCTCAAGCTCCCACAACCCTCCTGCTTCAGCCTTCTGAGTGCTGGGATGACAGGCATGCGCCACAGTGCGGGCTGGGATCTCTGTTCTTCAGGGGAAAGATCTCACATGTCTCCTTCAGGGTGTGCCTTCTTCCCCTGCCTGGGCAGTGGGCTCTGAAGAATTCGGAAGCAAGGAATGGCGGCAGTGCCACAGAAGGTGGTTCTCACGAGCCCCGCTGGGTAGGTGTGGAGTCGACCAGCCTGGGCTTGTCTTAGACAAGGCGCACTTACAGCGGAGAAGGGCAGAGCCAGATGAAGACGCAGAGAAACCTAAGTGAGTGATAGAGAGATGGGCACATCACTAAAAGAAAACTTGCAAACTAAATCCTAATTCGTACAGACGGGAAAACTGAAGCTCTGAGCTAGGCGGGATGTCGCACACCTGCATTCCCAGCACTCAGGAGGCTGAGGCAGAAGGATCGCTGTGAGTTCAAGGCCAGCCTGAGCTACCTAAGCAATACCCTGTCTCAAAAAACAAAGTACAAAAAAAAACCCAACCCCAAACCAAACAAAAAACAAAGCAAGGCTCAAAAAGCTCATGTAGTGAAAAATTTTAAATCAGATGAAAATATAAGAAGAAATCAAAAACGGTCTGTCATTCCAATGAGGGTGTGGGGTGCCCTGGGGTAAGGCGCAGGACCGGGGAGCCCACAGCCCCAGGGCGGGTAGGAGAGAATGGGAAGCCAGCCCAGCCTGGGCGGAGACAGACCTGGGGTCACAGCCCCTGCTTCCTCCTGTGACTCAGGCACTGGCTAAAGGTCGGCGTGGTTCCCCTCCCTTCTTCCCCTTGGCCTCTGCTTCTCGGACTGGTTGGATATCACAGAAGACGGAGCCGTGCGGCCTTGACTGGGGTTGTGGGGTGCCTGCCGGTGGGCTGCAGTGGCTTACTTCCTGCGGGACAGCCCTGGAGCCTCTCTTCCTCTCTGTTCACTTCTTCCATGAGGCCAAGGGGAGCCTCAGCAATGGGAGTGCTCAGAATCCATGGCACTGCCCTCTGCACCATGCCGGTGGCCGCCCTGGCTGGCTGTCCGTCTGCACCATCTGCCGGCCAGCAGGGCCCTGCAGTGGGTGCAGCTGCCACTGGGCTCCCAGCAGCAGAACCTCGGGGCAATGTGTGTAACTCAGAAGCTGCCCTGGAGTGCTCTGTCCCGCAGCAGCAGCAGAGACAAGACACCCACAAGGTCCTCGGTGCAGCTCAGACCACTGCGAGTGGACAATATCTTTGCTCTTTGATCTTTATTAATAAATGCTACAAAATTCACTGCATACCCTGAGTTATTTCTCATCAGTCAGGAAAACGCTTCCCAGAACTTAGACACAGCCGTGCTGGACCCCAGGGGTGTGCCCTGCTCTTCCACTGCCACTGAGCTGGCCCTTTGTTCAAGGGACCCTTGGGTCCCCATGGCTGTGGGACTGGCCAAAGTGGGTGGCTGCTTTGTATCCGAGGCAGCGTTGAAATTTACTTTAAAAACAAAGATGGCCAGGCACTCCTGTCATCCCAGCAGTCTGGGAGGCTGATGCAGGAGGATCATAAGTTGGAGCTCAGCCAAGCAAGAACCCTGTCTCAAAAATTTGCAAAACGTGCTGGGGATGTAGTTCAGTGTGAAGGCCTTGGGTTCAGTCCCCAGGACTGCAGAAAAAACAAAAGAGAAAACAAACCCAAGAGACAGACGGCGGCACTGAGTGATGGATCAGGCCGGTGATAGTGAGAATGCAGGTGCTGTGCTCTGGCCTGGGAGCTCAAGGCCCCTGCTCAGTGTGTGCGGCCAGAAGTGCACAGAGAGCCCAGGAGCAGCCTGCACCTGAGGCCCCTCTGGACGCTGGGGGCCGAGGGATGAGCCAAGTAGACATTGCCAGGGCTTGTGAAGGCTCTCACAGGCCAGGCATCAGCTGCGAGTGTTTCAGACTCCACTCAGCATGTTTACCAGGGGCTGTACCCATGCTCTCCACAGGACTCAGTGAGTCACCCGAGTTTGAGTTGCCTGAGGTCACAACTGTGGCCCAGCAGCTATGCAAATACGAACACACCGTGTGGGTGACGGATAGGCCCAGTGGACCCAGTGTGCATGACATCTGAACCCAGTCCAGTTGGCGGAGGCCACCAGGCACAGCGACAGATGCACCTGGCTGGGAGACTGAAGTCCCTGCTCCCGTGTGACAGCCGCGGATCTGCAGCAGACAGAAGAGCCCCGACAACGGCCAGGCTGGTCTCGACACCTCTCAGTCCTGAGGTAGGAAGGATTCTGGGAGCAAGCTCTCAGCTGTCCGTCTCTGAGCCCCAGGACCATGTGGCCCTTGGTGCTGCAGCCCGAAGGTCCCAGGGTTTCACTTCAGAGCAGGAGGAGCTGGGGCTGAGGGTCCAGGCCCAAGAGACAAGAAGGGTGGGTAGGGTCAGGCCGGAGCCTAGGGGAGGAAGGAGGGAGAGGCCCGGGCAGGGCCCGGGAGCGGGAGGCTCACGCTGGAGCCTACACTTCCTCCTCCTCCCCTTCCTGCCCGGCTGCTGGCCTCACCGATGACGGCTGGGAAAGGGGAAATTCTTGAGTGTAAAGTCCAGCAGGTGGAGGGACCGGGCTGGGACTCCTGTGTCCCTCAGAGTGACAGGACCCATGGCCCAGGCTGCCGGGGGCATCGGGGCCTGGGGGAGCTTGGTTCTACTGGTAAGTCCTCCCGGGCCCAGGGCAGAACCGGACCCCAGGGGAGGGGGTGCTGGGGACCAGACTGCGTGCAGGATGAGGGAAGAGACTCCCTGAAATCGGACCCCAGAGGAATTAGGGGTTGTTATCCCCTGCAGAAGAAAGGGGGCTCCCAGTTTGGGTCAGACTGTGGAGAATCTGACACCTGGCTTAGATAACTACAGTGACAGTGGGACGAGAAACAGCCCCTCAGGCCCAACACGGTGCTCACAGAGACAATGATCAGTGTCTTTCTCCCTCAGACTGAGGAGGGTCCTGGGCCTGGCCACCTCCCTCAGACCGGGATCCAGGCTCAGCCCTTCTCTGTGACCATTTGATGTCTCAATTCAGCCTCTGGTTTTGTTTTCTTCCTATCCTCGGACTTTTCTGGTTACTTCCCCACCCCCAGCGTTGCAAGCCTGTAGTTTTCAAAAATTGAAACCATTAAGTTTATCTTTGGCCTTATCAGTAGAGCCAATGTCGGCTTCGCGTCCCTGAAACCACACCCCTACCATACTTGACCTTGTTCCCTGCGGGAAGAACACGGATATTGGGGTGACCTTTGTCACAACTCAGCCCCGAGCTATCTCCCAGGCCAGGGTGGCGGTTGGGTGGGGGTGGGAGCGTTGTGGGCAGCACCAGCAGGCCCACAATGTCTCCTGGGTCCAGGGGAGGCTTAGGCGTAATTCCTTCTTCCCTGCCTCCTTCCAGAGTCTCTGCAGCTGGACAGGGACCGGGGCAGCTGGTGAGTGACCCTTCAGGGACAAGGAGCCTCAAACCCATGAGCCTCCTGGGGCTCCAAAAGGACCTCCCTATCCAGGAGAGGGGTTAGAAGGGAGAACTCAGCGTGGGGCTGGGTGAGGGGTGAGGGGGAGTAATGACCGGCACTGCCCGACATGAGACCCTCATCCGACCCCAACACAGTGACCAACCTGAGAGTGGACGCTCAGACCAACCGCTCCAGCAGCCTGGGCTGGGAGGAGCCCGAGGGCTCAGACTCACAGAGCCTCACCTACTGGGTCCTGCCAGCTGCAGACCATGCCACAAGTGAGGCCCGGGGCGCCACAGACACCAGTGTCACCGTGCAGGAACTGCGTCCTGGGTTTTTATGTGCATCTTCTGTGTGGGTGGAAAAAGATAGAGTCAACAGCACCAGAGAGTTTCTCACTGCTGCTACAGTTGAGAAGCAACCAGAATTTTACTTCCTTTTTTGGTACTGGGTATTGACCAGTATTTGAAGCTCTTCAGTTCTGTGGTAGTGGAGATTCACTCCAAGGCCTGCACACTGAGCTCTATCCCAGCTCTTATTTTTTTGTTTTAAGAGACAGTTTTGCTATATTACCCTGGCAGGAATTGAACTGATCCTCCTGTCTCAGCTTCCTAGCGTTCTGGGACTGGAGGGTGCACCACCACAGTTGGCTCTTAATGTTCCCTTTGCGGAATTGCGATGGGGCGACAGGAGAATGTGGCAGCTCTGGGTTCAATAGAAATACACAGAAAACACTCTTGGAAACTTCAGTTTTCTATCAGCCACATAAAAGTGTAGGAAAAATCAGGTGAAATCATCCTCATGAGATATTTCATGTAGCCCAACAGATGAACAAAATACTTCCGTTCCAACATGTGCTGTAAATAGGAAGGCTGAAGGCGATCTGGCATGCACAATTCCAAACCAAGCTAGGTGTGGGGTGCACGCCTGTGGTCCAGGGCCCCGGAGGTTGAGGCAACAGAACTGCTGTGAGTTTGAGGCCAACCTGAGCTACATAGCAGGACCCTATCTCTAAGAAAAAAAAAAGTCCAACTGCATGCCAAATTCTCCCCAACTTGGTAGGTACTTTACACTCATGGCCCACCTGGAGTAGAATGAGCCCCATCCCAGGGGCTCCACAGTGCCACGGGACCTATGCCGCCACATTGGATGGTGCAGGTCTGAGCCACCTCACCTCCACCTACTGCTTCCTGGGTCAAGGAAGTGCAGGATCATGTAGGAGCCAGGACATAAAACTGTTTTGCTTCTGTCCCTGTGCTCAGCCCCCAACCCAGTGAGGAACCTGAGAGCGGTCACTCAGACCAACGACTCCATCAGCCTGGGCTGGGAGGAGCCCGAGGGCTCAGACTCACAGAACCTCACCTACTGGGTCCTGTGGACTGGAGACGGATACGGAGGTGACGCCCGGAACACCACAAACACCATTGTCACCGTGGAGGGGCTGCGTCCTGGGTCTTCATATGCCTTTTCTGTGTGGGTGGAAAAAGATGGAGTCAACAGCAGCAGGGAGACTCTCAGCGCTGCTACAGGTAAGAAGCAACCTGTATTTGAAGCTCTTTAATTCCATGGTACTGGAGATTCACTCCAAGACCTTCACACTGAGCTCTATTCCTAGCTCTTGTTTCTTTGGTTTTTTGTTTGTTTGTTTTAAGAGAAAGTTTTTCTAAATTCTTCCAGCTGGAATTGAGCTTCTGATCCTTCTGTCTCAACCCCCTAGAATATTGGGATTACCATTTGCACCACTTGGCTCTTAATCTTTCCTTTTCTAGGGACTGGATGGAGTGCTTGAGCATAGACAGGAGAATGTGGCAGGATCTTCGGTTCAATAGAAATACACAAAACCCACAAATGTAACCATCAATTTTCTATCAAGCACGTAAAAATGAACGAAAGATCAGGTGAGATGGATCCTCATAGGATCTATCATGTAGTGTGATCCAATGTAAAACAGTTCCATTTTATAGGGAATAGGAAAAGGGATGTCACCAGAGACCCCTTCAGTGGGTCCTGGTCCCCTGTGAGCCACTACAGCACAAAGCTAATAAGAATCAAAAATGAAATGAGACTTGGAGAGAAAGCTGGGTCTTGGGGCTGATCAGTGCTGCTCTGGGAAGCAAAGACAAGGCCCCAAGGACATCCAGTTTTTACTGGTTACAAGTATGGGATGCAAGTGAGCAGGGTATGTTTTGAAGAAATCTAATGACATAGGGCCAAACATCTGGCATGATGGCACCAAGCTGGACTGTAAGGGAGGAGGCACTGCTGTCTTCCTTGGAGCGAACAAAGTGATACTGGGACCAGGTAAAATTAGCAAGCAACTCATCGGGTCAGTGAGAAGCCCTAATTCGGGGGAAAGGATTTTATATGGGGTCAGGCTGACCTCAGCTGCACATAACTCAGTAGAGCCCTGGCACTTCATAGACCAGGACTTAGGCCTCCAAGGCAGACATTGCAGAAGGGGCTCTACCCCCCGAGTCCGAAATCTGACATACCCATTTGAGTCACACAGAGCTTCAGTCTGACTCCTGATATAAACAATACAGCTGAATTGTGGAAAGCAAGAATCAGGTGCCACTCATAGCCCACTAGTACTAGGCAGGGGTGTTGCTGTGGCATTTCATCGTGTAATTTATGTAGAAAGGGTGAGTGAGGTTTATGTTCCCAATTACACATTTACTGTGCCTAACCGGATAGGTCCTCTACCTCGACTACATGTGTGCCGAGAACTAGCCCAGCCCAAGGGCCCTACAGTCTCATGGGACAAGCGCTGTGATATTGGACAGAGCAGGTCTGAGCCACCTCGCCTCCATCCAGTGTGTCCCAGATTAAGGAGAGACAGGAACATGTGAGTCCAAGAACCACAACTCATTACTTCTTTTGTCCCGATGCTCAGCCCCCAACCCAGTGAGGAACCTGAGAGCGGTCACTCAGACCAACGACTCCATCAGCCTGGGCTGGGAGGAGCCCGAGGGCTCAGACTCACAGAACCTCACCTACTGGGTCCTGTGGACTGGAGATGGACACGGAGGTGACACCCGGAACAGCACAGACACCAGTGTCGCCGTGGAGGGGCTGCATCCTGGGTCTTCATATGTCTTTTCTGTGTGGGTGGAAAAAGATGGAGTCAACAGCAGCAGGGAGACTCTCAGCGCTGCTACAGGTGAGGGACAGCCGCTGTTTCACCCTTTTCTTAGTAAAGGGAAGTAGTGCTTGTGGTTGGAAATGACCAGAGAATGTTGCCTGTCGTGTGATCCAGTAGAAATACAATGTAAGCTACATGTGTAAACTTCAGTCTTTAGTCAGCTATATCCAAGTAAGAAAAAAGGAGGAGGTGAAATGGATCATCATGACCTATTTCATGTAGCACAGCTGATCTAAAATACTGTCGTTTCAACATGTGATCAGTATCCAAAGCATCCTGAGATCTGACATTCCCAATTTGACTCCAGATCCTTCTCCACTTGATGTGTGCCATACACGCATTGGCTCATCTCAGGGGGAAGGAGCCTATCCAAGGGCTCCAAGTTCCACGGACCTGTGCTGCCACATTGAGCCGTGCCAGGCTGGGCCACCTCAAGCCCTCCCACTGGGTTCAACTGGCAACAAAACACTGGACAGTTTGAAAACCAATACTACAGCTCATTTCTGTTCCTGCCCATATTTTTAGCCCCAAATCCAGTGACCAACCTCAGAGTGGACGCTCAGACCAACAGCTCCATCACCCTGAGCTGGGAGGAGCCCGAGGGCTCAGACTCACAGAACCTCACCTACTGGGTCCTGTGGACTGGAGATGGACACGGAGGTGACACCTGGAACATCACAGACACCAGTGTCACTGTGGAGGGGCTGCGTCCTGGGTCTTCATATGCCTTTTCTGTGTGGGTAGAAAAAGATGGAGTCAGCAGCACCAGAGAGTTTCTCAGTGCTGCTACAGGTGAGAAGCAACCAGAATTTTACTTTTCTTCTTCTTTTTTTTTTGGTACTGGGTATCAAATTCAGGACCTTGCACTTGAGAGACAGGTGGCAGAACCACTGAGCTAAATCTCCAGCCCTTTTGTAAGCGACCAGTATTTGAAGCTCTTCAGTTCTGTGGTAGTGGAGATTCACTCCAAGGCCTGCACACTGAGCTCTATCCCAGCTCTTATTTTTTTGTTTTAAGAGACAGTTTTGCTATATTACCCTGGCAGGAATTGAACTGATCCTCCTGTCTCAGCTTCCTAGCGTTCTGGGACTGGAGGGTGCACCACCACAGTTGGCTCTTAATGTTCCCTTTGCGGAATTGCGATGGGGCGACAGGAGAATGTGGCAGCTCTGGGTTCAATAGAAATACACAGAAAACACTCTTGGAAACTTCAGTTTTCTATCAGCCACATAAAAGTGTAGGAAAAATCAGGTGAAATCATCCTCATGAGATATTTCATGTAGCCCAACAGATGAACAAAATACTTCCGTTCCAACATGTGCTGTAAATAGGAAGGCTGAAGGCGATCTGGCATGCACAATTCCAAACCAAGCTAGGTGTGGGGTGCACGCCTGTGGTCCAGGGCCCCGGAGGTTGAGGCAACAGAACTGCTGTGAGTTTGAGGCCAACCTGAGCTACATAGCAGGACCCTATCTCTAAGAAAAAAAAAAGTGTGATCCAGTAGAAATACAATGTAAGCTACATGTGTAAACTTCAGTCTTTAGTCAGCTATATCCAAGTAAGAAAAAAGGAGGAGGTGAAATGGATCATCATGACCTATTTCATGTAGCACAGCTGATCTAAAATACTGTCGTTTCAACATGTGATCAGTATCCAAAGCATCCTGAGATCTGACATTCCCAATTTGACTCCAGATCCTTCTCCACTTGATGTGTGCCATACACGCATTGGCTCATCTCAGGGGGAAGGAGCCTATCCAAGGGCTCCAAGTTCCACGGACCTGTGCTGCCACATTGAGCCGTGCCAGGCTGGGCCACCTCAAGCCCTCCCACTGGGTTCAACTGGCAACAAAACACTGGACAGTTTGAAAACCAATACTACAGCTCATTTCTGTTCCTGCCCATATTTTTAGCCCCAAATCCAGTGACCAACCTCAGAGTGGACGCTCAGACCAACAGCTCCATCACCCTGAGCTGGGAGGAGCCCGAGGGCTCAGACTCACAGAACCTCACCTACTGGGTCCTGTGGACTGGAGATGGACACGGAGGTGACACCTGGAACATCACAGACACCAGTGTCACTGTGGAGGGGCTGCGTCCTGGGTCTTCATATGCCTTTTCTGTGTGGGTAGAAAAAGATGGAGTCAGCAGCACCAGAGAGTTTCTCAGTGCTGCTACAGGTGAGAAGCAACCAGAATTTTACTTTTCTTCTTCTTTTTTTTTTGGTACTGGGTATCAAATTCAGGACCTTGCACTTGAGAGACAGGTGGCAGAACCACTGAGCTAAATCTCCAGCCCTTTTGTAAGCGACCAGTATTTGAAGCTCTTCAGTTCTGTGGTAGTGGAGATTCACTCCAAGGCCTGCACACTGAGCTCTATCCCAGCTCTTATTTTTTTGTTTTAAGAGACAGTTTTGCTATATTACCCTGGCAGGAATTGAACTGATCCTCCTGTCTCAGCTTCCTAGCGTTCTGGGACTGGAGGGTGCACCACCACAGTTGGCTCTTAATGTTCCCTTTGCGGAATTGCGATGGGGCGACAGGAGAATGTGGCAGCTCTGGGTTCAATAGAAATACACAGAAAACACTCTTGGAAACTTCAGTTTTCTATCAGCCACATAAAAGTGTAGGAAAAATCAGGTGAAATCATCCTCATGAGATATTTCATGTAGCCCAACAGATGAACAAAATACTTCCGTTCCAACATGTGCTGTAAATAGGAAGGCTGAAGGCGATCTGGCATGCACAATTCCAAACCAAGCTAGGTGTGGGGTGCACGCCTGTGGTCCAGGGCCCCGGAGGTTGAGGCAACAGAACTGCTGTGAGTTTGAGGCCAACCTGAGCTACATAGCAGGACCCTATCTCTAAGAAAAAAAAAAGTCCAACTGCATGCCAAATTCTCCCCAACTTGGTAGGTACTTTACACTCATGGCCCACCTGGAGTAGAATGAGCCCCATCCCAGGGGCTCCACAGTGCCACGGGACCTATGCCGCCACATTGGATGGTGCAGGTCTGAGCCACCTCACCTCCACCTACTGCTTCCTGGGTCAAGGAAGTGCAGGATCATGTAGGAGCCAGGACATAAAACTGTTTTGCTTCTGTCCCTGTGCTCAGCCCCCAACCCAGTGAGGAACCTGAGAGCGGTCACTCAGACCAACGACTCCATCAGCCTGGGCTGGGAGGAGCCCGAGGGCTCAGACTCACAGAACCTCACCTACTGGGTCCTGTGGACTGGAGACGGATACGGAGGTGACGCCCGGAACACCACAAACACCATTGTCACCGTGGAGGGGCTGCGTCCTGGGTCTTCATATGCCTTTTCTGTGTGGGTGGAAAAAGATGGAGTCAACAGCAGCAGGGAGACTCTCAGCGCTGCTACAGGTAAGAAGCAACCTGTATTTGAAGCTCTTTAATTCCATGGTACTGGAGATTCACTCCAAGACCTTCACACTGAGCTCTATTCCTAGCTCTTGTTTCTTTGGTTTTTTGTTTGTTTGTTTTAAGAGAAAGTTTTTCTAAATTCTTCCAGCTGGAATTGAGCTTCTGATCCTTCTGTCTCAACCCCCTAGAATATTGGGATTACCATTTGCACCACTTGGCTCTTAATCTTTCCTTTTCTAGGGACTGGATGGAGTGCTTGAGCATAGACAGGAGAATGTGGCAGGATCTTCGGTTCAATAGAAATACACAAAACCCACAAATGTAACCATCAATTTTCTATCAAGCACGTAAAAATGAACGAAAGATCAGGTGAGATGGATCCTCATAGGATCTATCATGTAGTGTGATCCAATGTAAAACAGTTCCATTTTATAGGGAATAGGAAAAGGGATGTCACCAGAGACCCCTTCAGTGGGTCCTGGTCCCCTGTGAGCCACTACAGCACAAAGCTAATAAGAATCAAAAATGAAATGAGACTTGGAGAGAAAGCTGGGTCTTGGGGCTGATCAGTGCTGCTCTGGGAAGCAAAGACAAGGCCCCAAGGACATCCAGTTTTTACTGGTTACAAGTATGGGATGCAAGTGAGCAGGGTATGTTTTGAAGAAATCTAATGACATAGGGCCAAACATCTGGCATGATGGCACCAAGCTGGACTGTAAGGGAGGAGGCACTGCTGTCTTCCTTGGAGCAAACAAAGTGATACTGGGACCAGGTAAAATTAGCAAGCAACTCATCGGGTCAGTGAGAAGCCCTAATTCGGGGGAAAGGATTTTATATGGGGTCAGGCTGACCTCAGCTGCACATAACTCAGTAGAGCCCTGGCACTTCATAGACCAGGACTTAGGCCTCCAAGGCAGACATTGCAGAAGGGGCTCTACCCCCCGAGTCCGAAATCTGACATACCCATTTGAGTCACACAGAGCTTCAGTCTGACTCCTGATATAAACAATACAGCTGAATTGTGGAAAGCAAGAATCAGGTGCCACTCATAGCCCACTAGTACTAGGCAGGGGTGTTGCTGTGGCATTTCATCGTGTAATTTATGTAGAAAGGGTGAGTGAGGTTTATGTTCCCAATTACACATTTACTGTGCCTAACCGGATAGGTCCTCTACCTCGACTACATGTGTGCCGAGAACTAGCCCAGCCCAAGGGCCCTACAGTCTCATGGGACAAGCGCTGTGATATTGGACAGAGCAGGTCTGAGCCACCTCGCCTCCATCCAGTGTGTCCCAGATTAAGGAGAGACAGGAACATGTGAGTCCAAGAACCACAACTCATTACTTCTTTTGTCCCGATGCTCAGCCCCCAACCCAGTGAGGAACCTGAGAGCGGTCACTCAGACCAACGACTCCATCAGCCTGGGCTGGGAGGAGCCCGAGGGCTCAGACTCACAGAACCTCACCTACTGGGTCCTGTGGACTGGAGATGGACACGGAGGTGACACCCGGAACAGCACAGACACCAGTGTCGCCATGGAGGGGCTGCATCCTGGGTCTTCATATGTCTTTTCTGTGTGGGTGGAAAAAGATGGAGTCAACAGCAGCAGGGAGACTCTCAGCGCTGCTACAGGTGAGGGACAGCCGCTGTTTCACCCTTTTCTTAGTAAAGGGAAGTAGTGCTTGTGGTTGGAAATGACCAGAGAATGTTGCCTGTCGTGTGATCCAGTAGAAATACAATGTAAGCTACATGTGTAAACTTCAGTCTTTAGTCAGCTATATCCAAGTAAGAAAAAAGGAGGAGGTGAAATGGATCATCATGACCTATTTCATGTAGCACAGCTGATCTAAAATACTGTCGTTTCAACATGTGATCAGTATCCAAAGCATCCTGAGATCTGACATTCCCAATTTGACTCCAGATCCTTCTCCACTTGATGTGTGCCATACACGCATTGGCTCATCTCAGGGGGAAGGAGCCTATCCAAGGGCTCCAAGTTCCACGGACCTGTGCTGCCACATTGAGCCGTGCCAGGCTGGGCCACCTCAAGCCCTCCCACTGGGTTCAACTGGCAACAAAACACTGGACAGTTTGAAAACCAATACTACAGCTCATTTCTGTTCCTGCCCATATTTTTAGCCCCAAATCCAGTGACCAACCTCAGAGTGGACGCTCAGACCAACAGCTCCATCACCCTGAGCTGGGAGGAGCCCGAGGGCTCAGACTCACAGAACCTCACCTACTGGGTCCTGTGGACTGGAGATGGACACGGAGGTGACACCTGGAACATCACAGACACCAGTGTCACTGTGGAGGGGCTGCGTCCTGGGTCTTCATATGCCTTTTCTGTGTGGGTAGAAAAAGATGGAGTCAGCAGCACCAGAGAGTTTCTCAGTGCTGCTACAGGTGAGAAGCAACCAGAATTTTACTTTTCTTCTTCTTTTTTTTTTGGTACTGGGTATCAAATTCAGGACCTTGCACTTGAGAGACAGGTGGCAGAACCACTGAGCTAAATCTCCAGCCCTTTTGTAAGCGACCAGTATTTGAAGCTCTTCAGTTCTGTGGTAGTGGAGATTCACTCCAAGGCCTGCACACTGAGCTCTATCCCAGCTCTTATTTTTTTGTTTTAAGAGACAGTTTTGCTATATTACCCTGGCAGGAATTGAACTGATCCTCCTGTCTCAGCTTCCTAGCGTTCTGGGACTGGAGGGTGCACCACCACAGTTGGCTCTTAATGTTCCCTTTGCGGAATTGCGATGGGGCGACAGGAGAATGTGGCAGCTCTGGGTTCAATAGAAATACACAGAAAACACTCTTGGAAACTTCAGTTTTCTATCAGCCACATAAAAGTGTAGGAAAAATCAGGTGAAATCATCCTCATGAGATATTTCATGTAGCCCAACAGATGAACAAAATACTTCCGTTCCAACATGTGCTGTAAATAGGAAGGCTGAAGGCGATCTGGCATGCACAATTCCAAACCAAGCTAGGTGTGGGGTGCACGCCTGTGGTCCAGGGCCCCGGAGGTTGAGGCAACAGAACTGCTGTGAGTTTGAGGCCAACCTGAGCTACATAGCAGGACCCTATCTCTAAGAAAAAAAAAAGTCCAACTGCATGCCAAATTCTCCCCAACTTGGTAGGTACTTTACACTCATGGCCCACCTGGAGTAGAATGAGCCCCATCCCAGGGGCTCCACAGTGCCACGGGACCTATGCCGCCACATTGGATGGTGCAGGTCTGAGCCACCTCACCTCCACCTACTGCTTCCTGGGTCAAGGAAGTGCAGGATCATGTAGGAGCCAGGACATAAAACTGTTTTGCTTCTGTCCCTGTGCTCAGCCCCCAACCCAGTGAGGAACCTGAGAGCGGTCACTCAGACCAACGACTCCATCAGCCTGGGCTGGGAGGAGCCCGAGGGCTCAGACTCACAGAACCTCACCTACTGGGTCCTGTGGACTGGAGACGGATACGGAGGTGACGCCCGGAACACCACAAACACCAGTGTCACCGTGGAGGGGCTGCGTCCTGGGTCTTCATATGCCTTTTCTGTGGGGGTGGAAAAAGATGGAGTCAACAGCACCAGGGAGACTCTCAGCGCTGCTACAGGTGAGGGGCAGCCACTTTTGAACATCTTCTTTTTTACAGAGATTGATAAGGGGGGTGGAGAACAGATAGGACCATGTGGTAGGTTCTGCCAGCTGAGAGAAATAGAATGGAAATCACAAATGTGACCTCCAATTTTTAGTCAGATACAGAAAAATAGCAAAAAAGAAACAAAATGGACCATCATGATATATGTCATGTAGTCCTACTGAACCAAATACTATCATTTCAGTGTGAGACCAACAAAAAAGATCGATGACATTCATCATTTTAAAATTCATACTGAGTGCTCATAACTCATTGCAGAATTATGCTCATGGTGATATCTGGTAGAACGAGCCAGTCTCAAGGGTCCCACACTCATATGGGACCTGTGCCGCCATATTGCATGGTGCAGGTCTGAGCTTCTCATGTCCTCCAGGTAAGGAAGGACCGGAGCATGTGAGAACAGGACATAAAACTGATTTCCCTCCTTTCTGTTGCTATGCTCAGCCCCCAACCCAGTGAGGAACCTGAGAGTGGTCACTCAGACCAATGACTCCATAAGCCTGGGCTGGGAGGAGCCCGAGGGCTCAGACTCACAGAACCTCACCTACTGGGTCCTGTGGACTGGAGATGGACTCACAAGTGACTCCCATAACACAGAGGACACCAATGTCACCCTGCTTGTGCTTTACCCTGGATTCTTGTATGAAGTTTTGGTGTGGGCTGAGAAGAATGGCATTAATAGTTCCCGTGAGACTCAAAATGCTGCCACAGGTGAGATGCTCTCAGTTCACATTTCTTTCTTTTTCTTTTTTTAAAATGTTGTAGTAGGTGATTTAGGAGGATTGCCAGGAGATCATGGTAGAGTGTCTAGCTCATATTTCTTTCTTATTTTAAAATTTTTTTGCTACTGGTAATTGAGCTGAGGATCTTGTGCTTGGGAGGCAGGTGGCAGCATCACTGAGCTAAATCCCGGGCCCTCTACCTCATATTTCTTTGGGCCATATTCAGCCAGATACTTGTGGGTTCACAGGAAAAAGCAAAGCATGTCCTGGTTAACTCTTTGTTCAGGAAATGAAGAACAGTTGTCTGCAATGCCTTCTGCTTCTGGTTTTGGGTGGGGTCTTGGTTACTTTTTTGTTGCTGAGACAAAATACATCCAAAGTTAAAGGAAGAAAGATTTGCTTAGCTTACTGTTTTAGAAGTTTCAGTTTATAGTCAGCTGGCTTCAAGGATGGGTGGCTTGCCAGAGGGGCATTGCAGAGGAGAAACAGTTCATGGTGGGTAAAAGGCAGCAAAACAGTGAAGTATCAAGCAGCAAGCAGCAAGCAACAATGACCCTCTTCTTGTTCGTTATATTTTACCCTTAGGACAGGTAGCGCTCACACCAGGGAGGGCTTTCCCATTATCCACTCCCAGAACCATGCCAAACCACTCAGTAGACTAATTTAGTCATCACACACCCTTGATCAGAGCATCACACACTTAACCTCAGCATCACACACCGAAGATCCAGCCTCCTCTGAAAAGCTCTTCCTATGACTTACATGAGGCTTTGGGGGGACATCTAGATAACAGCCAGAACAGGCGGTCAGGGTCTAAGACTCTAGTCCAGAATCACAGGCATGTGTGCTGGCACAGACAAGGATGTCTGGACTGGGCATGTCACTTGAGTACCAGGGGAATTATATATTACCATCAATGGGACACTGTGGTCTTCTGACCCTTTTTCTAGAACCATCTGTGTCACATTTACATTTCCCAAATTGCTAAAATTGAATATATTTTCATATATTTGTTGGCCATTTGTACTTCTTTTGAGAAGTGCCTGTTTGAATCATCCGCTCATTTATTAATGTTCCTTTCTTTGGTATTTTTTGAGTTCTTTCTCTCTTTATTTTTTAGAGGGAAAAAGTTTATTTGTATTACATTTTGTAGAGGTTTCAGCTGGCTCCAAGGCAGAGTGGAATGGCAGACAGGGCTTCCAGAGGAGACACCATTCATGGTGGCCAGAAGATAGCCAGAGCAGCAAGAAGGTTTGAATTCTGTGTATACTTTAGATATTAACCCTTTTCTGGACAGATAAGTGACAAAGACTTTCTCCCATTCTGTAGGCTGTCTCTTTATCCTGTTGGTCATTTCCTTTGCTGTAAAGAAGCTTTAAACTTGATGTAGTGCTAGCTATTCATGTTTGCTGTACTTTCCTGTGCTATCGAGGCTCTGTTTAGGAAGTCTTTGCCCTTGCCTATGACTTCAAGCATTTTCCCTGTTTTCTAGCAGTTTCTAAGTCTTTGTACTTATAACCATGTCTTTGATCTATTTTGAATGGATTTTTCTACAGAGTTAGAGATCAAGATCTCTTTTCAATCTTCTACCTATAGAAATCCAATTTTTCTAGCGCCATTTGTTAAAGAGCCTGTCTTTTCTCCAATGCGTATTTTTGGCTCCTTTGTCAAGAATCAGATGGCTGTAGTAGCATGGCTTTATTTCTGTGTTCTCTGTTTCATCGCATTGGTCTACATAACTATTTTTTTGGCCAGTATCATGCCGATTTGTCATGATGGCTTTGCAGCATATTTTGAAATCCAGTATGGCTGTGCCTCCAGGATCACTCTTTTTATTCAGGGTTGCTTTGGCTATTGTGGGTCTTTTGTGCTTCCACATGAATTTTAGGATTGTTTTTTCTAGTTCTGTGGAAAATGTCATTGGTGTTTTGTTGGAAATTGCATTGAATTTTAGATCACTTTGGTAATATGCCTGTTTTAACAATATTAATTATGCCAATTCATGAACATGGGATACCTTTTTATATTCTAGTGCTTCAGTTTCTTTCTTCAATATTCTGTAATTTTTATGCAGATTCTTTCATCTACTGATTAGGTTGATTCTTGGGTATGTTTCTAAGCTATTGTGAATTGAATTATTTTCCTGACTTCTTTCTTGGCCTATTCATTACTGGGGTATAGAAAAACTATTGCTTTTTCATGTTGGTTTTGTATACTGAAACTTTGCTGAATTTGTTTATCAGATCTAGAAATCTTTCCATGGAGTCTCCAGAGCTCTTTAAGTACAGGATCATATCATCTGCAAATAAGAATAATGTATCCTATTTTATCCTTTTTATTTCTCTCTTATCTAATTGCTCTTGCTAAAATTTCAAACACTATTGAATAAGAGTGGTGAGAATGGGCATCCTTGTCTTATTTTTTTTCTAGTACTGGTAATTGAACTCAGGACCTTGCACTTGCTAGGCAGGCATGGTGCCACTGAGTTACATCCTCAGCCCTACCATTTTTTATTTTAGAGGAAATGCTTTCAGTTTTCCCTTATTCAGTATCATGTTAGCTATAGGCTTGTGATATATGCCTTTATAATGTTGAGGTACAATCCTTCTATATCTAGTTTCTTAGGGCTTTTATCATGAAGGAATAATGATTTGTTATCACATGCTTTTTCAGCATCAGTTGAGAAGATTATATAATTTTTATCATTGATTCTATTTATTTGGTGTGTTGTTTATTGATTTGCAAATGGAACATTCTTGCATCTCTGAAAAGAAACCAATATGATCATGGTGTTTTGTTTTTTTTTAAATATGTTGTCGAATTCAGTTTTCAAGCTTTTTTTTAAACACAGGTCTTGCTGTGCAGTTTAAGCTGGCCTTGAACTCACTATGTAGCTCAGGCTGGTCTTGAACTTGTGGCAATCTTCCTGCCTCAGCCTCCTGAGTGCTAGGATTACAGGCATGCCAACATGCCCTGCTGCAGAGTTGGGTTTTTTTTGGTTTTGTTTGTTTTTGGATTTTTTACTGGGTATCCAACTTGGATCCTTGAGCTTGTGAGGCAGACAGCAGAACCACTGAGTTGAATCCCCAGCCTGTGCAAGTATTTTAAAAAGGGTTTTTACAACTGTGTTCATGAAGGATGTTGGTGTATAATTTTCATTTTGTGTGTGTCCTTATCTGGTTTGTGATGGGTATGATCTTGGCCTTATAGAATGGGTTAAGGCAAGTTCCTTCCTTTTCTGTTGCATGGTATAGTTTAAGGAGCATTGGTGTTAGCTCTTTACAGATCTGGTAAAATCAGTAGTGAGTCTATTGGGTACTGGACTCTTTGTTGGGAAACTTTTTGTTCATGCTTCAGTCTCATTACTTGCTATTGATCTTTCTATATTTTTATATTCTCTTGGTTCATTTTTGTGATATACATTCTTTTTTTCTAGATTCTCCAATTTATTGGAATATAGGTTTTCAAAATAGTCATTAATGATCCATTGGATTTCAGTGGTGTCTGTAGTAGTATCTCCTTTTTCATATCTTATTATTGGCAAAGGGATTATTGTTTATTTTTCTTTCTTCTTTTTTTGGGGGGGGCTTTGAGGCAAGGTCTCCTCCCATCATAATTCAGGCTGGCCCTGAACTTGCTATGTAGCCCAGGCTGGCCTTGAACTCACAACGATCCTCCTGCCTCGAGTGTTGGGATTACAGGTATGTGCCACCACACCTGGCTCGATTATTGTTTATTTTTCAAAGAACCAACTCTTTACTTTATTGATCTTTTCAATCCCTATTTCATTAATTTCAACTGTGGTTTTTATCTTTCTTAGTATTGAGCTTACTTTAGGTTTCCTCAATTTTCTAAGATCTTGAGATGCATAATTAGGTTTATTCATTTGAGAGCTATGACTTTTTTTAATGTAGGAGCTCTTAGTTATAAATTTTTCTCTCAGTTGTCTTTGCTGTATCTCAGAGATTCTGATATGTTGTGTTCTTGTTTTCATTTGATTCTAAAACTTTTTAAATTTCCCCCTTGATTTCTCCAACAAACCATCAGTCATTAAAAATTGAATTGTTTGGGCCAGGTATTTAGCTCAGTGGTTCCACTGCCTGCCTCGCAAGTACAAGGATCCAAGTTTGATCCCTGGTACCAAAAAAAAAAAAAAAAAAAAA